CATGTCGCCAACAACATGTCGAAAGCCGATGTTCGACTGCTTGCCCGCAATCTGCACTTCCCAATAATCCCGAATGGCCTGGCGACTGTCCACACACATTATCTAACGAAGACGATTCACAACTCAAGATAGAGATGTGCAATTAAGTGCCCCCAGTTGGATACTGGATTCTATACTGATTTCTTTATGATGGACGTCCTGACGCCCACGGTATGTGCTCCGCTTGTCAAAGCTTCGCTCCACGTAGACGGCATCGCGCGCAAAAAGAGCAGAGATCCTAGCTACCAAACAGCACACCGACGAATTTGGATTCGGAACCAACGGAACGCATGACTTTGCACCCAGTCCTGGCAGGATCTTGGTTCTCCCAAGCCGCCCCATACTCATCCACCACTTCGCAGACCCTGTCCCGCGTCAAAGTGTCCTGGGAATTCACGCCAGGCTTACTTCCATAAGAATGCAGTCTACAGTAACGGTATCAGTCCCACCTCCAGCTTCGATCTCTGGGCACAAAGCCGTGCCCCGTGTTGCTTCCGACTGCGACCTCGAACCAGCCTGGGCATCTTTCACCAAAGCTTCCCTTAAGAACCCAAGACCCACTTTTCTGTAGCTTCTTATTATAAACGCAAAAATGGGACTTATAGGGACCCTACAAAAAAGCTAAGCCCAAGATTGCCAAGGCCGACTCGCCGAGGAGCAAGAGCACGGCCACGGCGACCGAGCCCCACCTGGCATCGGCGCCTCCTCTGGGCACGACACGGCCAATGTGCCACGGGACGTCACGAGTATGTTAACATGAGAAACATGGGCCAAGTGTGAGGAACACCCATCTCCGGCAGTGGCGAAAACGCACCGGCTCGAGCTTGCAGCATGTTTGCAACGAGCATATTGGGAACTCTCTCCCGAGTCCTGGCGATACCTCCTTGTAGGACAAGGGCACGCGCCGAGCGGTGCCCGCCAACAGCTGCTGCGCTTCCAAGCCAGCGCCGGTTCCGGAACGAAATGTGCAGAATGCCATCAAGTTCTAGTGACACACCACGGGCCAAAACCTTGTGTGCAATCTGGCTGTTGCAACTGCGCAGGCAGTCCAGTCGAATCTTCGAGCTAACAACATGTACTAGGCAGAAGTTTCGGCCGAAGTCAACTGCAGGTAGCTGCTGAAAACCTGCGGGATTTTTATTTTTTCATGAAAGCTTGGTATCGGTGCAGCACGCCAGGAACCATTTGCTTCTAACTTTGGAGCCCAAACTCGCCAACAAACGCAGGCCGAGGATGCACATGGGTCTATCTGCACTGAAGTTGACCGTGAAGTGGCAGCTGGCATGTCTGTCGCATGCGATCCAACACGGTCTTTAGAGAGCTCCGGTGCCTCGGAGGCCACGTGATTCCACCACTTCAGGGCGCTGCGCTGCTCTCGGCTCTTGGCGCTGGCCTCCGGGCTTTAAGTTTCTTCAGGGACCCAAATACATATAACCCTCATATACCCCTTATATAGTCTCATATAGCCCCTATATAACCGGTCCCTCCTTTAGTCCCTTGACTTTCAATTCCGGCTGACAAAGATCTTCTTACAGCTGGCGTTTCTTACAGGGGGAGTTTCGCTTGAGGGTGTCACTCCTTCCTTGCCCTGACCTGCAGGGGTTCAGGCCAAGCTTGAGGGCCTTTGTCGAAATTTAGGGGAAACAGAATCTGATCTTTATCCTCATGTCCAAGTCTCAAGCTATGTTTCGATGAGCAGCATGGACATAGCAGGACTGATTCTGACGGTATTTTCACCTTACTGGAATCAAGCTTCGGCCGTCTCACATTCTCGTGAGTTTTGCACCAATCCTGGGGCATGGAAGTATCGAGTCATCGGACGTAACACAATGGATCGGGTGATCAACGCTTCGATGGATTTTCCGGTCCGGTTTAAGCACAAGTCGTCTAGAAGGTGTAACAGATCATGGAAGCTCCTTCTCGCCTCGCTGCAGGGAAATCCCTACAGTCTACGTTGCGAACCCCGGCGCTGTCAGAAAGCTGTAAAAGCTTGTCAGCTTACGCTTTCCGCAGCGAAGGCCTCGTTCAATCTGCCGCGCCTCCTCTAACGACAGATGCACGTCAGGACGACTCGGGTCCTTTGTCTCGAGAAGCTGGAACAATGTCCGGGCATAGAAGACGGTGTAGGAATTCTTCTTCCCTTGAATCCTTTCCTGTAGGGGGGTGCCCTTCTTCAGCCACGGACATGTTCCAGCCCGAGCATCCGTGAGACGACGTACATGTTCCAGCAAGAGACAGCACATGACAGCACTGCACACCATAGTTGTCTCCAAGTCGTTCTCTCGAAAGAACGACATGGCCCGAAGGAGCCATGTTTCAGCCTGTCGTTGGCATCTTGTGCGCACGGCTCGCACGTTTCAGCACGCTCTGGGGCGTTTACACCCAGAATTCTTAATGCATTTCCTATGCCGGGAGCATTTTGAATAGAGATCTTGTTCGCAAACTTCGTCAAGAAAGTCGGCACCGAAGCCAGCCATTCTGGCGGCAGCGTTTGCTTGCAAAAGTAAACTCTGTGCCGGCACGCGATTGTCGGCCTCCTTCCGGCACGGCCTAGCGTGCCTTGACGCATCTTTCTGCTGCGGCATATATATGTATCCTTCAACTTGGTTTCTTCGCCTGCTCCGCTTGGTTGAGCTTGTACATGAGACTGGTCCGCACTCCGAAACGCAGCCAAGGGGATGACGAGGGCCCAGTGTTTGTGAAATCCTCGCTACCACACAAGCGTGTGTGTCGGTCCCAAAATCACGTTCTGGCCCGCACCTGCTGCAAACAGCATGTTTCAAACATAACTCCCTTCTCCAGCAGCAATTGAGACGATGCCGCGTTAAGCCGTCACAATAGAAGCACTTTTCGTCGCCTGCAGCCATGGTCACAGCCGCCGCATATCCCTGTGATGCAGCAAACCACGACAAGAAAATCTGAGACTCAACTGCTCGTAGCAGTGGCAGATCACATCCGCCAGCTCTGGGCTGTGCCGAAGCTCTGCCGGTCCAGCCGAAGCATCAAGAGGTCCGAAAATGGGGCTGAA